CTACTTGGGAAGCATAAATAGCTAAAGCAAAAATTGCTGAGGGTCTGGCTTAAGTGGTAGCAAGCATGAGGCCCTGAATTTAATCCTCAGTACCACTGAGAAGGAGGAGGAGAAGGAGGAGGAGGCAGAAGAGGAGGAAGAGGTGGTGGTGGTGGTGGTGGTGCCTGGAGACCAGGGATATAGCTCAGGTTAGAGCTCTGCCCTGGCATTGGCAAGACTGGGTTCCATCCCCAGCACTGGAATGCTGAAATAAATAAATAAATAAATCCTTTGAGGCCAGGACCTCTGGGAACTAGAAAGCCGCTAATCTTATCCACTAGGCTCGGAGGAATTTGGCAGAGCCCAGAGGAGGGGCTCCCTGGGACTGGGCTGCTGGCCCAGCCTATCTCCCCTACCCCGGAGCCAGAGCAGTCATTATTCATAGCCCCACAATAAACCCCTGGTGATAAGGCTGCTCCCCTCCCAGCGTGCTGCTCAGGATGAGGAAACCGAACAAATCAGCTCCAACCCTGGGTTGTGTCCATACAACAAATATTTGGACTGGAGCCGCAGCCCATCTCTACAGAGATCTCCCTGGGTGCCCCCCCCCCCCCCCCCCGCAGGCTAGAGGGTTTCAGTCCTCAGCAGAACCTAGAAAGGCAGCTCTTCTTTCTGCCACAGGAAAGCCAAGCCAGGCCTAGCTGCCAGTGCCACGCCCACCCTGTCTTTGGCCACCACAGGGGCAGCAGATTAGGGGTCTTGCTCTTTCCCCCCGGTTCCCCTGGGTTGAAGTCTGCATAAGCCCCTTCCCTGGGGGCCCCCAAACCCTGGTCTTCTTAGAGGATTTCCTTTGTTGGTAGTTCGTGGAGAGAGGGGGTGAATGGATGGGTCAAGGTTGTCCATTTAAGATGCCCACTCACCTATTTCCCAGAATCCCACAGGAACAGCCAGAGTCCCAGCTGGAGAAGTCAGTTCTGTGACCTGGGGAAGGGGGTCCTCCGCGCTCTCCTTCAGCTGGCACGGTGGTTGAGAACCTCTGAGCTGCTAGCCTGTCCCAAACTGAGCTTGGCAAAGCTCTTCTGCCAGGTCTCAGCCTTAAGGCTGGGCAGGGAACAGGCCTGTGATGGGGGGCATTGCCAGATAGATTCAATTAAATAAATAGAGGCCTGAGCAAAGCCACAGAAAACAAATACTTAGCGGCTTGTCCAGTCTCTTGCCGCCTGAGCCTAAGGACCCATATGTGGGATATGGACCCAGTGTGGAATTCTCTCCTGAGCCAATCAGCTGCCTCTCCCCAGCTAGGACAGTTAAAAATCATAAGCAGAATTTCCGGTATGGAGGGAAAAAACAGAGGAGAGCATATTTGGTTGAAAAAGAACAAAAAATAATAACTACGGAGAAGCCAGATTCTTTCTTCTCAGAGCCAGACGATGTTGGGTTGTTTTGTTTGTGAACAGGAACTTTTGGGGTGGGCCTCCCCTGGGATCTCCGGCTCTGCCTGCAGTCTGTCTCCCTTGAACGGACAGACTACTCTCCACAGGAGGAAGAGTCCAGATCTCAGGTGAGGGCTGCTGTCCAGGTCTTCTAGGGGGCTGAGCAGCCTAAAGCCTCCTACCCTGTCCGTTGCTGAGAAGTGACCACAGGTCTGCAAGCCTGGGCAGGGGACCCTCTGGGAAACTATGGCAGAAAAATCTTCAAGGCGGCCAACAAACAATGCGTTCAACTGAGCCTCACCAGTCAAAATAGAACAGCCACAGGGTCAGGGACGGGCAGGGCGGCTATAGAATTTGATGCTTGGGAGAGAGGACCAGAAACCCAGTAGAGAGATGGAAAGATGCCACAGCAGAACGTAATTAAACCCCACTGGGGCCTAGACCAAAACCTTCCTTTTTATTTTGTCTTTTGGAGGAGTGCCAGTAGTGGGCCTGAACTGAGGGACTTACACTCATACTTGGCTTGTTGCTTAAGGCTACCACTCTACCACCTGAGCCATACCTCCACTTTGGGCATTTTGCTAGTTAGAGATAAGAATCTCGCAGACCTTTCTACTCATTCTGGCTTCAAATCTCAGTTCTCAGATCTCGAGTGGCGGATTTCAGGTGTGAGCCACAAGTACCTGTTATGTGTCACAAGTCAAAGTACTTGCACAGCCATCTGTGAATATGATAAGCTTGAACCCCACAAGCTATGCCACAAGAATGTAACCTGATGCTGGGCACTGGTGGCTCACACACCTCTCAGGAGGCTGACGTCTGAGAATTACAGTTCCAAGCCAACCCAGGCAGGAAACTCCATGAGACTCTTATCTCCAATTAATCACAGAAGAAAAAAAAAAAAGCCAAAAGTGGAGCTGTGACTCAAGTGGTAGAGCACTAGCCTTGCGCAAAAGAAGCTCAAGGACGGGCTGGGAAGGTGGCACAGTGGTAGAGTGCTTGCCTTGCATGCTCGAGGACCTGGGTTCGATTCCTCAGCACCACATAAGCAAAAAGAAAAAAGCCGGAAGTGGTGCTGTGGCTCAAGTGGTAGAGCGCTAGCCTTGAGCTGAAGAGCTGAGGGACAGCGCCCAGGCCCAGAGTTCAGGCCCCATGACTGGACCAAAAAAAAAAAGCTCAAGGACAACACCAGTGAGTTCAAGGACAGACAGACAGACAGACAGACACACACACACACACACACACACACACACACACACACACACACACAGGAATGTGACCTATTTTCTCTTTGTACTCATTGTCCAGTCCCTCCTCCTGTTCTACCCACTCCAGTTTGGTGTGGAAAATGAATTCTTGATTCTTCTCACCTCCTCCATGTCCCTGAAGAGACAGGGTTGGTTCTGGTCTTCTAAAGGGAGACAAAGCCTCGGGCAGCAGAGAACAGAGTTCTGGGTGGGGCAGCCTGGACCACGGAAGGAGGAAAATAAGCCTGTTTGCTTAAGGAAAGTACCTCTCAGGAGGCAAAGAGAAGTACCCAGATCAGAGGCTGGCCCAGGCAAAAGCATGAGATCCTACCTAAAAACAAATACATAAAAGCAAAAGGACTAGGTCATGGCTCAGGTGGTAGATCTCTTGCCTCCAGATCTCATAGCCTTGAGTTCTATTCCCTGTATCACCTGAGTTAATTAATTTAAAGTGGGGGCTCTTGAAAGGGCTGGTTCAGGTTGGCCATGTACCCTCCAGCTGTTCCCCAAAAATCCCTCTAATGGCCTCTCAGTTGGGACTAGAGGCTTATTGCCTCAGGACTCTTATTTTTTCCAGGAGGAAGAAAAGAAGAAAGGGAGGAGTAAAGGCATTACAGACAGTTCTAGGTCTATCTTCACTTTCAAAAACAGCACATCATGGGTAATTTAAAATAAGCATCTGGAGGCAAGGTCTTAATCTCTTAGTTACAATGAGGGAGTAACATGTCAACTGGTCAAAACTCTGTGTGTTTAAAATACCCTTCTAGGAGCAAGATTTAAATAGACTCTTCTGAGCAGCCAAAATAGATGTTAAAAACACCACTCCACAACACAAGCTCTTTGTTTATTGGTGAGACTTTGGTCTAACCTTTGAACTTGCACTTTAGGTACAATAATAATTGACTGTGGTTGGGTGCTACTCAGGAGGCTGAGATCTGAAGATCACAGTTCAAAGCCAGCCCAGGCAGGAAAATCCATAAAAGTCTTATGTCCAATTAAGCCCCCAAAGCTGGAAGTGGAGCTGTGGCTCAAGGGGTAGAATGTTAGCTCTGAGCACAAAAGTTTTAAGGACAGCACCCAGGCCTTGAATTCAAGCCCCAAGACGGGCACTTAAAAGGAAAAGTAAAAAAATAAAAGATATCGCCAAGCACCTGTGGCTCACACCTGTAATCCTAGCTACTCAGGAGGCTGAGATCTGAGGATTGTGGTTCAAACTCAGTTTTTTTGTTTTTTGTTTTGGGTCCAGTTGTGGGGCCTGAACTCTGGGCCTGGGCGCTGTCCCTCAGCTCTTCAGCTCAAGGCTAGCGCTCTACCACTTAAGCCACAATGCCACTTCTGGCTTTTTTCTTTTTGCTTATGTGGTGCTGAGGAATTGAACCCAGGGCTTCAGGCATGCAAGACAAGCACTCTATCACTGAGCCACCTTCCCAGCCCAGGCAATGAAACTCTTATCTCCAATAAACCACCAGAAAACTGGAAGTGGCGCTGTAGCTCAAGTGGTAGAACGCTCGCCTTGAGCTGAAGAGCTGAGGGACAGTGCCCAAGCCCAGAGTTCAAGCCCCACAACTGACAAAAATAAATTAATTAATTAATTAAAAGATACCACCTCACCCCAATTAGAATGTCTATAATCAAGAACTCTAATAACAGATGCTGGAGGGGATGTGGACAGAAGGGAATCCTACTACATTGTTGGTGGGAGTGCAAACTTGTTCAACCACTTTGGAAAGCAGTATGGAGGTTCCTCAAAAGACTCCACATATTGCTCCCCTATGACCCAGCAATCCCACTTTTGGGCACTTACCCAACTGATCACAAACAAGACCATACTAAAGCTACCAGCACAACTATGTTTATTGCAGCATTATTTACCATAGCTAAGATATGGAACCAACCCCGATGCCCCTAAGTAGATGAATGGATCAAGAAAATGTGGTATATAAACACAATGGAATTCTGTGCCTCCATCAGAATGACATTGCCCCATTTGTTAGGAAATGGAAAGACTTGGAAAAAATTATATTAAGTGAAGTAAGCCAGGCCCAAAGAAACATAGGTCCCATGGTTTCCCTTATTTGCAATAACTAGTATATGTCTGAGACAAGCAGAAACGGTCAGATAAGTTGATGTTAGGACTCAAATGGTTTTTCTTGCTTGCTATTGGTTCTAACACATTTATAAGATGATTTCTTTGTTGCTTTGTATGTCCCTCCCCACAGTATAACCCCCGTTTTCACTGTATTTGATGTTCTTATAATTTGTGGAGGGGAAGGGAAAAAACATTGTTTAAATAGGGATACAGGTGGACCCATTGCAACAATGAGATGTACAAGACGTTATATTGAAAAACGAACTTTAGAGAAGGTTAGCACTCTCCTTGACAAGGATGGAAGAGGCCCTTGCCTGACAACACGCATACGGTTAAGGTGTTGCCACCTACTTTGTGGCATCTAACCATTGTTTTTGCTTTCACTGTATTTGATGTTGGTATAATTTGTGGAGGGGAAGGGAAAAAACAAATAGTTTAAGTAGGGACACAAGTGGACCCGTTGCAACAATGAGATGTACAAGTCTTTATGTTGGAAACCGAACTTTACAACTTTGGTGGGGGGGGAAGGAGGGGGACGGGGGAGAGGATGGGAAGGGATGGGAAGGGGAAACAAAGGAGGAGGCAACAATGCTTGATAAGAAATGTACTCATTACCTTGCTCATGTAATTGTAACCCCTCTGTATGGTATTTTCACAATAAAAATAAATAAATAATTTTTTTTTAAAGTTGCTGTGTGCACTGTTACTAAGCCCGGGATGTGCAAAGGGTACAGAGAGGGAGAGGAAAAAAGAGCAAAACCCAGCTGTCCGGGAGTCTGAGTTCAGAGGGACAGGACAGCAAAGGTCAGGGCAGAACCGTGTTTACATAGGGACACAAGTTACCTCCCCTTGAAGGGATGATCAAGCAAGGTTTATCATGAAATTGAGCACAGATCTGGCTCTTTAAGGGGTAAATACTTCTTTATTGGAGTACCAGGTTTCTCCTCCATCTGAGCTGGGATGGAGATAGTGTAGCACACAACTCTGCTGCTAGCAAGCTCTCCAGCTCTCCTGAAGGCCCCTGGGAAGGAAGAAGTGATGTAATTCCTACCCTGAGAAGCATTAGTGACCAGCACAGGCCAGTGCCCATTGCGTACATTCTGTCTCCTACTGGATATTATACTCCATCCTTCTCCATCCTCTCTTCTAGTATGCCTGCCTCTCTCTCTCTCTCTCTCTCTCTCTTGCTGTCCTAGGGCTTGAACTCTGAGCCTAAGCCCTGTCCCTGAGCTTTTATGCTCAAGGCTAGCACTTGAGCCACAACTCCACTTCCAGCTTTTTGGGGTTAATTGGACATAAGAGTCTCATGGACTTTCCTGCCCACGCTATGAACTGTGATCCTCAGATCTCAGCCTCCTGAGTAGCTAGGATTACAGGTGTGAGCTAGCAGCTCCCAACTTCCAGTTCTCTCTTGACTGCCCCCATTTCTCCTCTCCATTCAATCCACACCACCCAACCCAAGTGTTCCATAGACGGTCCACAGCCATGGAAATGTGTACACCTGCAGTGGCTAGTACAGCAGCAAAGAGCCCTAGTGGCTACTGAGCGCTACCAATAGATGAGTGCTCTTTAAATGGTCACAGGTGGCTGTGGCTTCAGCTTCTGGACTACAGTGTTGCCCTGCAGGGCTCCACACTGCAGAGAAGCCAAGGACTGGAGGTCTGCCCTGGAAATCATCCATTACTATAGTGTACTCGCAACTATTAAGACCTACTGTGTGCCAGGTAGGAAAAGATTATTTTGTAAAATACTTTTTTGGGGGTGCAGGAGACAGTCATGCCTTCCTTCTCTGTGTTTCCTTCCATTCCTTAGCAAGTCCTCCTTGCCTCCCAAGATACTCAGAGCGGTGTGGCGTCTGAGTCCCTGAGGAGATTCATTAAGAATGCAAAACCCAGCTGGGCACCAGTGGCTTCTGTTGGTAAGCCTAGCTAATCAGGAGGCTAAGATCTAGAGGACTGAGGTTTGAAATCAGACTGGGCAGAAAAGTCCTCTAGATTTCATCTCCACAATCACCAGCAAAAAGCCAGGCTGGAGGTGTGGCTCAAGTGATAAAGTGCCAGGCAACAAGCAAGCAAGCAAGCAAGCAGGGAGAGTACAAAGCTCTGAGTTCAAACTCCAGTACCACTCAAGCCAAACCAAAACACAAAGAACATAGAGCACACTTCCCACCCATTAAATGTGCTGAACCAGGCTCCGCCTGGCCAGAGGAGGGCTGGCACTGGAGGCTCCCACCGAAACACAAAGTCAATAGCAGGTGCTTTCTATCAAAAGCTTGTAAGTGAGGTGTAATTAAAGGAAAAGAAAGACAGGGCCCCATTAGAGTGAGCTCTTTACAAGAACAGCTATTCCCAAAGAAGTGTCTGTGGAAACCCCAGGGACATCTAATACCAGAAGCCTTTTTTATGGTGACATCTTAGGGGAATTTCTTTGGCAGATGGTTTTCCTGCCATGGAGGCACCTGGGAAAGTGGGTAAGAGCCAAGGCTGCAGGGGCAGACCTGGCTCCAGGTCTTGCCTGTGTGACCTTGGCAAAACTGGTCCCAGCAGCTTGCTGCAGCCAGTCTGCAGAGACCAGGAAAAGCTTCCAGGGGCTGAGACTTGAGGCTCTCAGAGTCCCCAGGACCAGGAGTGGGTTCTGGCCCGCAGGACAGGGTGACAACCCGAGTCCCCAACACAGACCTTTAGACATTCAAGTCTTTGTGTTGGGAAATTTTCAGCTTGGAAAAAGCATGCTTCTAATTTTAATCCAGTTCAACTGGAATGCGTTTAGAAAATACACGGAGTTACTTCTAACTCAAATGGGTTCCTTAGTTACTTTGCGGATTTAAAAATGTGGATTTAAGTAAGGACTCAGTAGAGAAAAAAAATAATAGTATTTGCTTTGAGAGTTTTACATTTCAGATAGAAGGCTTTCACTCTTCGGTTCAGTTCAAGTATCTTGTTATCCAAATCAACTCAACAAGCATTTATTTAGCACCTAGTCTGTTCCAAGAATAAACCAGGTGTGAGACAGTCTCTAGGAAATTACGCTCAGCTGGGGAAGGAGACAACCAAATGACCACAATCTCCATAGTAACTAAACAAAACGCCAGGGAGCCCAAGAGGGGCAAGGCACTGGGGCTGAGCTAAGAGAGATGGAGAGACAAGGGGAGGTGCTGCTGTTACCCCCAACACACCGCGCACACACACACACACACACACTCCAGCACTCACCAAGGAGTAGGCTTTCCAGCCAGTTGGGGGTCGGGAGTGGGGAAGGTTAGGATGTGTATAAGGACTCAGGAAAGGGACAGGGACTTCAGTCTGTGGGTGGCCTTGCGTATGGAGAGGTGCTGGGAAGGTACAAAGCTCAGCCTTTCACTGCTCGGTCCCCACCCAAGAGGACCACTTGTGTGTCATCACTGCTTCAAGAAGATAAATGCTCTGGGCAGAAAGAACTGCATTGATTTTTATCTATGTATCTGTCTCAACAGCTTCGTTAAGATCTGAATCACCTATCACTCAATTCATTCAAAGTATATAACTAACCCAGGCACTGGAGGCTTTGTAATCTATAATCCTAGCAATTCAGATGGCTGAGATCTAATGATGGCAGTTCAAAGCCAGCCCAGGCAGAAAAGGATTTGTGACTCTCATCTCTAATTAACCTCCAGGAAACCAGAAGTGGAGCTATGGCTCAAAGTAGTAGAGCACTAGCCTTGAACAAAAGAGCTCAGGGGACAGTGTCTATGCCCTGAGTTCAAGCCTCATGATCATCAACAACAACAACAAAGTATATAACTGGCCTGTAATCCTAATCTCCTAGCTAAGGAGGCTGAGATCTGAAGATCAAGGTTCAAACCCAGCCAAGGCAGGAAAGTCCATGAGACTCTTACCTCTAATTAACCACCAAAAAGCCAGAAGTAGCTGGGTGTCAGTGGCTCACGCCTATAATCCTAGCTACTCAGGAAGCTGAGATCTGAGAATCCTGGTTCAAAGCCAGCCCAGGCAGGAAACTCCATGAGACACATCTCCAATAAATCATCAGAAAACCGGAAGCGGTGCTGTGGCTCAAGTGGTAGAGAGCATGCCCAGAATTCAAGCCCAGCAACTGACCAAAAAAAAAGCCAGAAGTAGAGTTGCAACTCAAATGGTAGAGCACCAACCTTGAGCACAAAAGCTCAGGAACAGTGACCAGAGTTCAAGCTTCAAGACTAGCACAAAAATAAAATAAAAATAAAATCCCTAGATAAATTCACCAGGTGCTGGTGGCTCACACCTATATACTCTAGCTACTCAGGAAACTAAGATCTTAAGGATGGAGGTTCAAAACCAGTTCAGGCAGAAAAGTCAGTAAGATTTTTGTCTCTAAACACTCATAAGCTGGAAGTACTAGGAAAGGGAAGGGGTGGCATTATCCAAAAAGAAATGTACTCTTTACCTGACTTATGTAACTGTAATCCCTCTGAACATCACTTTTATAATAACATTTTTTTTTCTTTGTCAGTCATGCCGCTTGAACCTCTGGGCCTGGGTGCTGTCCCTCAGTTCTTCAGCTCAAGGCTAGTGCTCTACCTCTTGAGCCACAGCGCCACTTCTGGTTTTCTGGTAGTTAATTAAAGATAGAGTCTCACAGACTGGGAAGGTGGCTCAGTGGTAGAGCACTTGCCTTGCATGCTCGAGACCCTGGGTTCGATTCCTCAGCACCACATAAGAAAAAAGCCGGAAGTGGCAATGTGGCTCAAGTGGTAGAGTGCTAGCCTTGAGCTGAAGAGCTGAGGGACAGCGCCCAGGCCCAGAGTTCAGGCCCCACAACCGGACCCAAAAAAAACAAAAAAACAAAAGATAGAGTCTCATAGACTTTCCTGTCTGGGCTGGCTTTAAACTGTAACCCTTAGATCTCAGCCTCCTGAGTAGTTAGGATTACAGGCGTGAGCCACCAACACCTAGCAACAATAAAAAAAATTTAAGGGCCGGGAAGGTGGCTCAGTGGTAGAGTGCTTGCCTCGCATGCGTGAGGCCCTGGGTTTGATTCCTCAGCACCACATAAGCAGAAAAAGCCAGAAGTGGTGCTCAGTGGCTTAAGTGGTAGGGCACTAGCCTTGAGCTGAAGAGCTGAGAAACAGTGCCTAGGCCGAGTTCAGACCCCACTACTGACAAAAATAAATAAATAAAACAAAGTAAAATGAATGCAATGTGACTTTTTTCAACTACCCTAATGCTTTCATAGGTTGTATCAACATGTTCTTCCTTTTTAGGGTCAAATAATATGCTGCTTCAGGAAAAGACACTATTCTGCTTAATTATTCATCACCAGTGGGCATTCTACCTTTTAGTTACTAGTGAGAACCCCTGATGAGTTTCTGAGATGACTGCATGATACTAGTCATCACTGGTGTAATCCGGTTACAGCTGAGGACCAATGCTTTTGTTTCCGAGTATACACCTAGGAATAGAACTGTTGGGTCAAAGGGTGTAGTAAAATTCCAGGTATAACTGCTTTAGCCATGACCACATGGTTCTGGGTGTGTATAATGAAATTGAAGAAGTCTGGGCACAGGTGACTCACACCTGTAATCCTAGCTCTATAGGAGGCAAAAATCTAAGGATCACAGCTCAAGACCAGACTGGGCAGGAAAGTTCAGGAGACTCATTCCCAATTTACCACCAAAAAAGTCAGAAGTAGAGTTAGAGCTCAAGAGGTTGACAGTAGCCTTAGAGCCATTGTCAGAGACAATGCCCAGGACCCAAGTTCAAGTCCCAGGACCAGCAACTAAAAATACAAAAAGCAAAACAAAACAAATCTGAAGAGAAAGAACCCACAGAGTGTAAGAGTGTCACCATGAGAAGCCACACCTCCACATCTTCTCAGGGACAGGGACGGGACCAGCATCTTTGACCCCACTTCTTCACTGAAGGCCCTAGCTTGTCTCACACACACACACACACACACTCTCACACACACACACTCTCACACACACACAGACACCCCTCCAGCTGAGGCTCAGGCTGGCTGTCTTGGTGGATCACGGCACATACCCAGGGACAAAGACAACCATTTCAAGGGCTGGAGAGATTCAAGGCCATGTTCATCCTGGCACACTTGGTGAGCCCCTCCTCCATGCGAGGACAGTGAATGAAGCATGGCCATGTATTCTGTGCCCATGGTGATCACTCAGCACGTGCCCAGGGCTGTGTAAACTCTCTCCAAATGAAAAGGCTTAAATCCTTGAAACAGCTCTGTGAGGGAATTCCTGCTAGGGCTCTGGGCTAGACAAAAGATTAGTCAGAGAGGAGGAAGCCAGCTTGCTTCCCCAGGCACACGGGCCTGCGAGCGAGTCTGCCATACGAAGGCAGTCTTGCTGGGCCCTTGCAAGGATAGTGAAGAGATCTCATTCCACAGACAAGGCTCCCAAGGAGAAAGCTAAGCCCTTGCTCAAGGTTGGGGCTGCAGCCCAGGCAGGCTCTAACACACTTAGACCTGTCTGTGGTAGGAAAGGGCAGAGCTCAGCATGCAGCTACCTCAGTGGTTGGAGGAGCAGGCTTTGCTTAGTGTCACCTCTTGCAGGAAGTTCTCCCTGCATACCGACCCCTCACCCCAGGCTCTCAGAGCATCCAAGCATGCTCCTGCTGTGGTTCTGTTGCATATGGACATTGGCTTGCATGACCATGACTTTGACATTGCTAGGACCTGTGGGTGGGGAACCGGCTGGACAGGGCCTTCCAGTGGGGAGGGCTAGGTGTCCTCAGGGGCCTGACCTCTCACAATCTTGGAAGGCTTAGAAACGGGGAAGGTGCTGTGTTGCTGGGGTGCCACAGCCACAGCCAATGCAGGCCAGGAGATACCCTTCCTCCCTCAGGCCACCCAGCCATACCCAGGGCCTGTGAACTGAAACCCAGAGCTGGGCACCTGTACCTTGTGCTTGGGAGGTCTCTGGGAAGCAGTGGCATATATATTTGCGTGCGGGCAAGATATCTGGGATGTGCATGCTTGTGTTGTATGCATGCGGCATGTGGTACAAGCAGAGTGTGTCCTGGTGTGGGGGGTGGAATCTCCTCTGCTGTGGAGCAGAGGTAAGAGGGTCCCTTCCTAGAACTAGAAACACGGAGTGGCTCAGTGTCACATGGTTCAGCCATTACCTGCTACCTGCCAGCTAGCATGAGTATGGTCATAGGAATGGGCCAGTGGGGTTCTAGTGGGCCCCATCTGGCCTTCTGCTCAGGAAAGGCTTTTTCTTTTTCCCTTTCCTTTCTTTTCTTTTCCTTCCCTTCCCTTTCCCTTTCCTCCTCCTCTTCCTTCTTCTTCTTCTTCCTCTCTCTCTCTCTCTCTCTTTTTGCCAGGCCTGGGCACTGTCCCTGAGCTTCTGAGCTTCTTGAGTTTCTTTGGCCCAAGTTTAGCACTCTACCACTTACCCACAGCACCACTTCTGGCTTGTTCTACGTATACCGTACTGAGGAATCCAACCCAGAGCTTTTTTTTTTTTTTTGGTCCGGTTATGGGGCCTGAACTCTGGGCTTGGGCACTGTCCCTCATCTCTTCAGCTCAAGGCTAGCGCTCTACCACTTGAGTCACAGCGCCACTTCCGGCTTTTTTCTTTTTGCTTATGTGGTGCTGAGGAATCAAACCCAGGGCCTCAGGCATGCAAGGCAAGCGCTCTGCCACTGAGCCAACTTCCCAGCCCCTCAACCCAGAGCTTTATGCAAGCATTCTACCACTAAGCCACATTCCCAGTCCCACCCCACCTCCCCCATTTTTTTTTAACTTTAAGTAGTTGTACAAAGGAGGTGCCATTGAACAAAGCAGCTTACGAATACAATTTTTTTTTCCTCCAGTCCTGGGGCTTGAACTCAGGGCCTGGGCACTGTCCCTGAGCTTTTCTTTTGCTCAAGGCTAGCACTCTGCCACCTGAGCCACAGCACCACTTCCAGCTTTTTCTGTGTATGTGGTACTGAGGAATCAAACCCAGGGCTTCATGCATGCTAGGCAAGTGCTCTACCACTAAGCCACATTCCCAGCCGTACAGTGCATCTTGCTGTGTCACTTCCTCCACTATTTTCATCCCCCCCTTCAACCTACCCCAGGGGAAAGGACTAGACAGACAGGAAGGAGGAATCTGAGAGGAACATGTTCCCTAGGGGGTTATGGTCAGGAAAGAATATGGATCAAGAAATGTGTCTAGAAGGACAACTGGTATTCTGGAAACCAGAGCTGCCCAGCAGCAGAGGTAGCCTCATAAGGAAGGGAACAAGAGTATCAGCATGGCCGGGGAATGTCCAGCCCCTAGCACATCTCTTAATCCTGCTCCTTCAAGCTTCCTCCTCACATTCCCCCCCTCCACCTGTACCTGCGCATGAGCATACAATGAGCAGTAGAGCAGCCAGCAAGGGCTACCCCCTACCAGATGCTGCTCTTTCCCAACCATGGAAGCTGCTTGGTCCTTTAACCTGGCTGCCCTTTCAAATGTTCCAGACAGGCAGGTCCTGGAAGAATTCAGAACTCCTTCCCCTTTCACAGACAGGACCAAGGTATTTCCTGCCAGAGGTCATGCTGTCCAAGGCCAGCAAAGCCCAGCCCCACTGTAGTCCAGGAACCTAGGCTGGACAGTAAGGTTACGGTGGTGTCTGGGTCACTCACCTACAAAGGGTCCATGCTGTTTCCTAAGTCCCAGCTGGTGGTCCTGACTCTCAAACCTTGGTGTCACACATAGGTTTAACACACTTGTAATTCTAGCTACTCAGGAAGCTGAGATTGAGGGTCACAGTTCAAACCTAGCCCAGGCAGGAAAGTCCTTGAGACTCTTAATCTTTAACAAGAAGAAAACTAGAAATCAAACTGTGGTTCAAGTGGTAGAGCACTAAAAAAATCTCAGGGGCAATACCTAGGTCCTGAGTTCAAGACCCAGGATGTCCCCCACCACACACACACACACACACACACACACACACACACACACACACACACACACAGGTCACTTAAACTTAAGTCCATTGAGGAATGCGGTCAGTCCCTTTAGCAGCATCTGCAGGAAAGTTTAGGGTGGCTAGACAAATTACTTTATCTCTTTCAGTCTGCTCTTGTAAAATAGAAATAATGTTTGGAGATTGTTGTAAGATTTTTGGAAATAATGCATACAGCCCTGCTTTTCAGAGTCCCCATAAGCAACAACCCTCCTCCCTTACCCCTTCTCTAAGAGATGTGTGCAATTCAGATTTTACTTCTCTAAAGCATTCTCCAATGTTAAGAATGATACAAAACGCTGATTTGCCATTTGATTTCCACTAAGCCACTGCTGAGACCCTAATATCCTAAGCCAACTTAAAGTATAATCGATACAGAATAAAACGCACCCAGTTTGTTTTGCCTTCCTTTTCTGTCCATGTCTCCCCCTATCGCCAGTATCCTGAGCACTGAAGCCTGGAGAATGACCCCAGGGCCTCCTGTTTGCTAGGCCCTAGCACTTCAGGGTAGCTTTTGAGGACTTTGGGCAAGACTATGTATCTGCATAGCCAAGTCGATCAAGACTTTCCCAGCCAATCAAGTACTTCCCCAGACTCTACCCTAGCCCCCTCCCAGCAGAGAACCACGGCCAGTGGTGCACTAAGGATTGGGTTCATCTTTTCCAGGGTTTGGCCTAGAGGACTTTATACAGCGTGTGTTGTTTTTGTCTGGCTCCTTTGCCTCAGCACAATGCACCTGAGGTTCACTCGCCAATTCAGCATTTGGAGCCTTTGACTTCAAGGACATAAGCAGTGATCTCGTTGGTTTCCTGGTGGTTCCAGTGACAGACTGGCCTGTGTCTTGCTCAGCTGAATCTTCCAGGCCCCACACCACCCCCCCACAGGGCCCGGCGCATAGTAAACGCTTAAGGAAACGGATTTTAAAAGGCAATATTTGGTAGGGGGGAAGGGGGGAGGAAGGCACCAACTGCCCAGCCGAGGCGGTGAGTCACTTGGTTACTGCTCAAGCCGCAGTGGAGAGGAAGGGGTAAACTTAGACGACGGTGGGGAGGACGGCTCCCAGCACAGCTCCGACTTGGGAACAGTCCCTGTGTTCAATTATCCAGCCAGGCTCGGCCTCCCCGCCCCCGACCCCACCAGGGATAATTAAAAGCCGGACGCCTCGGTCCCTTCCCCGGGGAGGCGGCGGTGCTCGCCGTGAATGGGCTCTCAGGAATGAATAACGACACAGTGGCCTCATTGTTCCGCAGTCGGGGAAACTGAGGCCAGAGGGCGGGGGAGGGGAGGCCTCCGGGTGACTGGAGGCTGGGTCACCGCGTGAGTCAGCGGCGCAGACGGGCGAGATTGCAGTCATTAGGGTTTACAGGAGGCCGCCGCCACCGCGGCGCAGCGGCCCGCGCCCCGCCCGGCCGAGTCCCCGCCGCGGGCGCCTCCCCGCGCCCCGCTCGGCCGCCCCGCCTCGCCGGCTGGCGGGGCCCCACTTCCTCCAGCTGCGGGAGCAGCTGCTGCCGTGGGGGGGGGGGGGGCAGGGGAGCCTCGGCTCCCGCAGCGCGGTGCTCGGACTTCGCCAGGCGGCTGGAACCTGAGCTCTGCGGTGTCCCCGTTCCCACCCCGGCTTCTACCTGCGCCACCCCCGAGATCGGCGCCCCGGGAGGCGGCGCGGGCGCTCGGGACCCGGCGCCGGGCAGACGGTGCGTGGTGGTGCCCTGGTCCCCGCCCGGCGCCTGCGCGGTGCGTGCGCTCCCGCCCCCGCCGGCCCCCGGGGCGCGGCCCCGCTCCCGGGCACGCGCCTCCGCGGCCCCGCTCCCCGGCGCCGGGCACGCGCACGCGCCCCCACCGTCCCCGCCATCTCCTCCCGGCTGAGTCACCAGCCAGCCGCGCACCCCAGCGTCTGGCTGGGCACCGGGCTCTCGCGTGCGCGGACCCCCACTTCCACCCCCCTCCGGAGGCCCCTCCCACCCCCTTCTCTCAGCATCTCCACGCTGGGTGGGGGTAGCGGCGTGGCGCCTCCATTCCCACAGCCCGCCCACAGACCCTCCAGCCCCCCAGCCTGGGCCGCCTGGCCTCCAGACACGGGGGTGATGAGGATCCCTTCCTCCTGCCACCTCCTGGCCGGCCTCCTGGCCCGCCCCGGGGCCCAGGCCCGGTGTCACCTCGCCCTCCCCGGTCGCCCGGCCCCGGGCAGGGCCGGGGTGCGGTGGGGAGAGGGAAGGGTGATGGCTCTGGGGACCTGGGAGGAGGCCTGGGCTGCGCCTGCCTCCGGTGCCCGAGGGCCCGGGTCACCCGGGCGAACCCACGCCCTGTCTGACCTGCGGGGTGGCAGTCGGTCCTGAAATACTCTAAAACTACCTGGTGTGTGAAGAACACTGGAACCTTTAAGCTCTGTCCTGGGCTCCGCTCTGCCCCGAGTGTTAACTCCAAACATACTTATTAGGAGACTGTCGCTTTGTTTTGACTGGTTTACGTACATTTTCCACCTTGGGGTGGTGGTGATGGTGGTGGGCTTGTGGAATCCCTTAAAATAGCTTTTGGTGGAGCCAAGCCCTCTATTATGGGAAACTCCTGGACACCGCGGCCTCCGGAGGGCCCCCGTGGCCGTCCCAGGGGCTCACGTGCCCTCTCGGTGGGTGGGAGGACACCATCCTTGAGATTTCAGAGACCAGAGGCTGGGCTTCCTTCCCTAGAATGGACGCTGCGACCCTTCCCCAAAGTCCCGTGGCGATGATGAGATTAACAACAAGGTTCTGTTTGCTTTTCTGAATGGCGTACCCTAAACCGAGCTGGTTATATTTATCACAAAGACACAAGGTCAAGGTAACCTTCACAGGCTGGGTAGTTTCATTATTTATGAGGTGCCCTCTGGCCAGGAGGAAACCTCCAAGGAGAACTTGATGGTTCACCCTGCTTTAGAACCTTCAGATCTTTGTATCATCTCATCCCAAAGGAAAGGGAGCCAAAGAATGAAGGTGAACAGGTGAGGTCAACCTGATGTGTCACATTTCAGAGAGCCATAAAGTTTATGGCTCTGTCCCAGGAGGCCTTGCCCACCCTACTATTATGGCTCCAGAGGCTGAGTAAGTGGACGTCCTGGGGTGGTGCAGCCTGCCCGGAGGCTTTACTACCTGGTTCCTACGCTCTGTTAACCTGTCTGGCTCCTTTCCCCTTCCTGGTGGAGGTGGGAGGTGACTGGGGGGGGGAGGTAGGGGGGGGAGGCAAAGCCCACAGCGATTAGGCAAAACAAAGGTCAGCTTCCCCTTCTTTGTTCCCCTCTTCCCCAGTGACCAGAAGGGTTAGCATTTCTGTGCGGGGAGAGGCAGCCGAGAGAAGCCTCTGTTTCACTTTAAATGTTCGACTGGAGGGAGGGGGCAGTGAAGGAGCAGGCCTGTTGCTCAGCTTTGAAAGAAGGCAGGAGAACAATTACTTTAAAAGGTTTTAATTGGTCTTGTTCTGAAGTACTCATCCTCCTAAAAAACCCCAGGCCAGCTCAGACCTGCATTTCTGGATTGCCCAAGTGCCTCCCTGTTCGTTCTTCCCCTTTGAACAAGGCCGTGCCAGGGGGAATGGTTCCATTGCCCTCTTAACTTCATTGTGTGTGTGTTAACTTCATTGTGTGTGTGTGTGTGTGTGTGTGTGTGTCTGTGTCTGTCTGTCTGTCTCCAAGCTGGTTGCTTATCTACCTTTATCTAGCACTTTCCAGACTTGTGGGTCAGAGGCCTCCTGGGAGGAGAATGTCTCCAATTCTCTTCCCCAGCTCCTGACCTGACTCACTTGGGGCGGGTCTGCATCTGTCAAGAGAAGTGAGTAGAGAAAGTGGCTTAAAGCAACTGGAGCCACTTGGGAGAAGGGACAGTGGCTTGATTGCCACTCGAATCATAAAAACAAGGCCAAATTGGGAGAGCCCTCAGAATCCAACCAAAGGGAGAGAATCCCCAGAAAAACCTTGAACTGCATTCCAAATTGTTTGCAAAGGGCCAACTTGCATCAGATACTAAGCCCGGCTTACTTCCTCCCTTCCTGCCTCCCTCCCCCCAGGAAGGCTTGCATCTCCACGGAAAAAGCTGAATCTAAACCCACCTGATCACTCTTGGAACAAATGCAAATGGCTGCTTCTAGGGCTGGGCAGGAAATAGGATGAGCTTGGAGCACCTTGCAATGCCAAAAAGTAAATGCTCAAAGACCAGAGACTTAGACACACGGAGACCAACCCAGAAGAACTCTGGAATGCCAGTAGACAACCACTTAGGAAGAGTTTGCACAACAAAAATAATGAATGGGCTTTTAATGCAAGGTATGAAATTTCCATAAATAATCCATAATAATACAAAGAAATACAAAGTCTGTCAGTGGAGGGGGAGGAGAAGCAGTTTCCCACTTAGATATTCCAAAGAATTTATGCAGATATTCTCGGAAGGAAGTGTAGCTAAATTCCCCCCTTGAGGCTGGGCTGCACCTTGGGGTGACACACAAGCCTGTCAGTTCAGCTATGGTGGGAAGCCAGATTGGAGGATGTAGGTCTAGGCCAGTCTGGGCAAAAATGTTAGTTCCTATCCTAAAAATAACTAACGCAGAAAGGGCTGAGGGGTGTGGCTCAGGTGGTAGAGTACCTGCCTGGTAAGCCTAAAGCCCTGAGTTCAAACTCTGATACTGCAAAAAGAAAGACAAAAGGTACTTTTTGTTTTGTTTTGAATGTGGAGATTCTATTTCTATAAGACTCAAAAGGGCTAAAGAAGTCTCAGGCAGGAAGAGCAGGAATCAAGGCTGCCCTTCCTGGTGAGTATCAGAAAGGGGATACTTAGGGGGCTAAGAATATCCTTTTTTTAATTTTTATTTTTATTGTGAAAATACTGTACAGAGGGGTTACAATTAGATGGGCAAGATAATGAGTACATTTCTTATCAAGCATTGTAGCCTCCTCCTTTGTTTCCCCTTCCCATCCCTTCCCAGCCTCCCCCAGCCCCCAGAATATCCTTTTTTGAGCTGGTAATCTGGTGTGTTCAGCTTGGAAATTCAGTTTTGGAAATTCAACAGGTGGCAAATTTTTTTTGTATATGATGTGTGTCAATAAAAGTTTATAAATTGTATAAAATAAGGTGATATCAAGCATTAATTTTCAGAGCTTGGAGAGGCCATTACCTCTCTTTCCTCCTAGGAGGCAAAAATATTTAGAAAAGTCAAGTGATTTGCCTCAGGGTTTGAAGCTGACAAAGCAGACTGGGAGACTCTTCCCTCCTGGTCTAACCAGGCCTTCCCTGTTGGGCCTCTACTTAAAATAATAAAAATGTCCTTAACTAATCTTTAGGGCTGGTCACCAGACATCTGTGGGAAGGAAATTTTAAGGAAGTTCAGCAGCACCCAACCTGATGACCTCGAGGGCTAAACTTATTTTTCTATGACTCAGTTTACCTACTGTCAAAGAAGATCTTAGCCAGTTGCTGGTGGCTCATGCCTACTGCGGAGGCTGCGATGTGAGGATCACAGTTCAAAGCCTGCCCAGCTGGTACATCAGCCTAGGAGAGTGCTTGTCAAGTGTGTGTGAGGCTCTGAATTTATTCCCCTGTGCCCAAATAGTAAAAAAGACAAACCATGGTCCTGTCATTGGGAAACTCCTTTTGGTCTACCCCAAAAGATTCGAGAGTGAAGTTTGTGCTGGGAACAGGGGCACGGGGAAGTGCCTAAGCGGTAGCAGGTGAGTTGTGACAGTGTGACAGTGTGCTCACCTATTACAGCGAAGCCTTGGCTTTGATCTCCAGCACGGTGAAAAGTCAGTCTGTCTGCTATTTTGTGTGTCTACAGAGGCCTAACTAGCTCAGATCCAAGTTCATTTCAATAAAACAGGATAAGGAGGGGAAAGAGGCTAGACCAGGCCAGAGGGCAGGATCTGCCCACAGCTCTGTTTCACACCTGATCCTCCCACCCTCACTGCCAAGGGCCATTCTGGAGACTTTTGGTCTGATAAAGGGGACCCTGAGGCCCTCCCCAGAGGGCAGGCTGCTAGTTGCCTAGAAATTCTTACCTCAAGTGTCTTCTGGAAGACCAAAACTGGCTGTTATTTAAAGTAAAGTTTAATAATGTTTCCCCCTCATTTTTTTTCATCTACTAAAAAACCAAAGCTTACTTGTCTTTATGGTATCTGTAATGGAACTGTCTGAAAGTAATGGAACTGTCTGAAAGTAATGGAACTGTCTGAAAGATTTTACATTGTGAGAGAATATCTGTCATGATGCTGCATTTAAGAATTATTGCCGGGCTGGGAAGGTGGCTCAATGGTAGAGCGCTTGCCTTGCATGCCTGAGGCCCTGGGTTCGATTCCTCAGCACCACATAAGCAAAACGAAAAAAGCCGGAAGTGGCGCTGTGGCTCAAGTGGTAGAGCACTAGCCTTGAGCTGAAGAGCTGAGGGACAGCGCCCAGGCCCAGAGTTCGGGCCCCACGACCCGACCTCCCCCCCCCCAAAAAAAAAAAGGATTATTGCCATGCCGGGCGCTGGTGGCTCACGCCTGTAATCCTAGCTACTCAGGAGGCTGAGATCTGAGGATAGAGGTTCAAAGCCAGCCTGGGCAGGAGAGACTGTGAGACTCCTATCTCCAATAAACCACCCGAAAAACGGAAGTGGCGCTGTAGCTCAAGTGGTAGAGCGCTCGCCTTGAGCTAAAGAGCTGAGGGACAGCGCCCAGGCCCAGAGTCCAAGCCCCACGACTGACCAAAAATGAAGAATTATTGCCAGGGCCTGGGAATGTAGCTTAGTGGTAGAATGCTTGCCTAGCATACAGGAAGCCCTGGGTTCCATTCCTCAGTACCACATAAACAGAGAAAGCCTTGGGAAGTGGTACTGTGACTCAAGTGGTTGAGTGCTAGCCTTGAGCAAAAGAAGCTCAGGCCCTGAGTTCTGAAAGGTATATTAAGTAGGTAGCTTTCATTAGGTAGCCGATGAAGAGAAAGCCAGGCCGTATTGAGGCAGGAAAAGTTCTAAGACCCAGGACTGGCAAAAAAAAAAACAAACAAAAACAAAAAAAATGGGGGTGGGGATTTTAGTTCTCCTTTATAAAGTTATACTAACTAT